TGATCACTGGTTTCTGATTTGCGGAGCTGCCTCCAAAGAAATTACCATTCAAACTAATCTGCAGACAGTTTCAAAACAATTTTGGGCAGCACAGTGTAACAAAGACATCTAACATTGAAAGCTGCTGTATTTCAAAACACCAACAGGTTAAAATAGTTATTTCAAGCACTGAATAAGAGAGAGACTCCTAACAGACTAAGAGACAGAAAAAAAAACAAACATTTTTTTAAAATGATGTTATAGCTACTGCAAAGCATTAGGCTTGGGCTACTCTATTTGAACTCTCCGTTCAGACTTCACCCCAGCCCTTTATTTACCTTGATTCCCCAAAGGGCTAATATTGCCTCTCAATGCTGGCACATGATGGTACTGGTGTGGCCTTGAACTCTTGTACATCCAGTGGTACCTGCCAATTTCCATTTCTGGTCTGGTGATCACTGCCAATTTTAGGTGGTAAAAAGTCAGTGTCTCCAGCAAAAAAAAATGTTGTTCAGTACTTTTATTCATTTACTATTAAAATTAGTTGGAGAGGCCAAAAAGATAACCTGGTATTTCATAACTGAAGTATAAAACTCATCTGCATCAAATAAGAGAAAGAAAGAAAAAAAATCAATGGGTTATGCTGACATGTGAATTAAGGAAAAGTGTTTAAAAAAACTCCATCCAGGTTTTTGAATTAGAAAACATTCATACGTGAATTTGAGTTCACATTTGCACTCTATTTTATTGCAGTTGCTGCTCATCAAGACTCACTTTTCACTCCACCCCCACCCCAATCTTCCACAAACCTCTTCTCCCCTTTTCTGGCAAGCAGCCATTCCCTAATAGATAGGGCAGAAAGGGAAATAAAGTTGTGGGAAACTAAACATCTATTTTTAAAATACTTTAAACCCAACAGAGTATAATAATTATTACCAGATGTCTACAGAGGTTCAAAAAATTACCCAACAATATACAGTCAACTTTTTAAACAGATAAGAAAAGTTGCAGTTTTGTCACATCTCATATTCAAGAGACTCAGGACCAAATTTATTAATTTTCAATTAACTTAGAGACTTGCAACAAAACTGTGATCCATTACCCCCTCCCCACTTCATGAGAAAGTTCAATAATGTTGCATCACTTTCAATCATATGTGATGATCTGTAATTCATTAGGAGAGAACTTCAAAGCTTAACTACTCCTGAGCACTACGAAAAGAGGCCACTAGCAAAGCAACATCAAACATTTAAATAATTTTTTTCCCCTGGCTCTGTTATGAATTGTGAGGCTGTCAGCACAAGATGGATCATTTCTTAAAAAATGCACTGGAAGTCCCCACTCTGTAGTAGCTAGATGAAAAAGTAACTGTCATCTCTGTCCAAAATAAATCTTACTTAGCAGCCTATCAGCAGGTGCATGAGGTAGACCAGGACATTAAAACAAGCTTCTTTTAAAACTAGGTCAGAAGCAGATTTCTGGGAAGAACAAACTTCACATTTCTGGATTTATAACAATTATACTTTAAGGATATAATCGTCCTCTCACAGTGAGCTTTCACTGCTGTAATCCTATTTCATTGCAGTTCTTTTAGCATAAATCAGGAATAAGAGGAGAATTTTATCCTGAGTTCAGTGAGCATATCTAAGAAAAAAGTTGCACATGTACTGATTAATCAAGCCAATAGTCTATTTCCCAAAAGACTTCGGGACTAATGCAAATTTAATGTCAATAGATTCTTTAATGCATATGTTGGGTTTCATTTTCCCCTTGATCATGCTTTCCTCTTTATGAGTTATTCACAGGGAAAGCAGTCAACCACTTTCATACTACTCACACACTTTTCTATGAAAGAAATTACTTTTCGCAATCTATTTTTTTTCCAATTTAGGAGGAAAAAGAAAAATTCACATCCTATATATTCAGTTACCTCTTAAGTTCTTTCTAAACAAGTCTTCCAAAAGTAATTTGCTGCTTGTATAGCCGTGAGGGTTTAATTCAGTTAATTCTTCCTAAATTGAAATGGTGGGTTTTTAAAAACACCGCTTCAATTTAGGGAGAATTAAACCCTTATGGCACGTACACAAGTTGAGGGCCCAGTCCTTACCTACTTTTTTGGCAGTGGCAGCAGGGGGTGGGGAGGGGGAAGGTATAAGTGGGCTAAGCAGTCCCTGAGCTGTGCAGGGTCCCCCCCAGACGGTAACCCCCCCACCCCAACTGGCACCCAGCCCCAGCACTGTTGCACTTTGTTAAATAGCAAACTAAAACACCTTGGAGGTGTTTTATCTTGCTATCTACAGAAGTCATTTAAAGCAAAATACGCCATCAAACATGCAAACAGCAATACCATTAAAGTGATGCAAAAGGGCATTTAAGCCACTTTAAAGGCCAACTTTGTGGAGTGTACAAAGGCCCGTTCTGTCTAAAGACAACTTCATTTCCTCCTACTGCTTATTCAGGCCAGGTATAGACATTACCCTTTTACCAGGATAAGTCTATACCCATAACAGAATAAAGGTTCAGCACACAAAACGGGTCGATATTCATAACAAAACAGAAATTCGACTGGCACACAGACTGGTTTAAAAATGGCAGAACCCATTCTAAGATCTGCATCCCCCACCAAAGGGCCAGCGTACATTCTGTTTGCTACCCATCTAAATAAACTATACCGCTTACAGAAAACCGCGCAACTTAGATCGATTCCACCTTGGGCTTTTTGAGCATCTGTACCTAGCCTTGGTAGCAATCCTTTAATTTACATTATGAGCTCATAAATAAAGAAATTCACTATTTTTGATATTAGATTAACTGAGGGCAGAAGGAACTTGGCAACACTACAATGCGTTTCTTTGACATTGGTTTTCCTCAAACATCATTGTTTGTTTCTTGTTTTCTTGAAGCTTCTTTGCTAACATTTATAAAAATCTTAAAACAACAGCAACAACTACTCTCCAAGAGACTCCTAATGATTTTGAAAAATAGCTAATATATTTACATTTCCATGGCACCAAAGAGTCTAAGTCATAGACCCCAGTACAATGATAGAAGAAAAAAATAGCACCACAGAAGGAGAACTGAATTCCTTTTAAATACATACTAAAAAATGTTTTGGCTGCCAGAATACTAATACAAAGATATATCTTTAAAAATACTGAAAGGATTTTATCCCATCATGCCTAAGATCAAAGCCCTCAGAGTCCTGGGTTTCACTTGTAGCAGTTAATAATGCACTTAAAAAACAAAACAAAGCAAGCAGTTGCTAGTGCTCATGATAGGGTAAGGCAGGCAAGATCATCAGCTTCTACTGGAAAAATGTCAGACTTTGAAATGAAGAAAGGCCTGTCCTTCAATTATCATTGTATTACATTTCATTTGTAATATTGATAATGTAAATTCATTTGATTTTTGAGGGGTGAGGGGAGGAGGAAAGGCAGGATGAATAAAGACATTTTTGAAAGTGACATTTGTGGATTTTTTTTTTTTTTTTAAAAACAAGAATTTTCATTAAAAAGTCCATATGAGGAATTTCTTTTCTCTCTTCCTTACTCCCCTTGTTTAGTTGCATAGACAGTATTTTCCTGGAAATACGTGCCATTTAGCTACTAGCTTTGTTTTGTAATCTTTAGCAGCCCTATCCATCATTGAAGCCAACGGAGGTCTTTCTACTAACTTCATTGTCCACCAGATCAGGCAATAAAAGCAGTTCTGCAGATTCCAAGTTGCAGGAGAAAAGGCCCACAAGCCTTTAGTAAGGGCATGAACTATTGGTGTAAAATATGGTAGAGCTAGGCCTTAACTAGCCATATGATAACAATTTGCTATATTGAACAGTATTTTCTATTTTAAAAAGTATTTGACTTTACGTTAAGAGATGAAACATCGCATTACAAATTGTGCTTAGGTATGGGGATGAACAGCTATAGTTGAATATCCTTCTTTAAAAGTTTATAAAAACCCATCTGTACACTTGTGTCTTATGTAGAGCACATGCAGGAATGATGATAAGTTCACTGCAGTTCAGTCATACAACATCAAGGTGTTTATGGAGGTCAGAAGCTCACAATTTTGTTTATACCACAGCAAAAGAAGCCATGTCAGGCCATCTAATAAAAATGCCTAGATTTAGATATTCCTCACACCTATGCGCAATGAAGTGGCATTTATTCAGATATCAAACAGGCCAGAGCAATGCAAGGAAACTGAATAACAATTAGTTTATTGTTTCCAAAGTAACTATATATAATCTCCCTAAAGCAAATGCTGTCCTTTGGTTATTTTAAAACATGACAAAATTACCAGTAAATACTGTTCTGGGGAACATGACTAGTCAGGTAGTAAGAATAACAGCAGATGATGTAATGGGGTTTTCACCCATTTTTTAATTGCTTTGATTCCATGACAATATGCTATATGGGGCCATCTCTTGTCTACTGTGCGTATGCAGTGCCATCTGGTCATTCTTCCATTACAGCCTATCCTATTTCATACAGGATATAGTTTTACTCCCACTGTTTGATCATTTGGACTGGTATTGAGCATAGTCTTTAAGATTTTTTCTTTTTAATTTAGAAACCCAAACCATGTCAGTAAAACCTAGGGCTGAATCCTAATGTTTTATGCCTATATAGCCCCTTCTATTTAAGCAGAAATGTTTTTCAGGAGATCCGCCAGAAGCCAAGGAAAACTAGAGCCAGGTCAGCACCTTTGAAATACAGATGTAGAAGCCTAATGTTAAAGACCTTAGCTTTGAAAACTAATCAATCTTGTACAGTAAGAAGATGGGTTATTCAAAACAAGCTAAAAAGAGGACAAATGCATTCATCTTCAGAAATGCCTTAAAACTTATACAATCAAAAGCTTCCTTCCAAATGAAGTTAACCTTAAAGTAGTCAATTGCGTGCTGTTTGGTTTTAAACTATACTCATTTTACAACTCATGATTTTAGTCTTAAAATATATTTTTTTAAAGTTACTGTAAAAGTGCAGGTTTTCCCATCTTAGAGTAATGCACACTTATATGTTGAGGTTTTCAATTTTGTAATATTTCTATCTACATCATAAAAAAGTTTGAACTGTTTCACAGAGTCCTAAATATGTAATATCCTGATTAAGTTCTCCTACTAATGTATAATCAAAATTAATGTTCATATTTTTACATCCACTCCTTAATATAGCATAGAAATTTGAACCTTATTATACATTAGTCCACTACTATGAATATATTCCTCAGTATTTGCTTTTTCCACTATACTTTCATGCCCAATTTACTACGGTCAGTCATTCACAGAAATTTTTGGCACCCTACAAATTAGTAGTAATATTTTTCTTTGTTAAATGAAAAAGCAAACCTCATGTCTCTTTTAATATATATCATGATCTATTTCCTTCACTACTGATGCAAAACAGCATTTCGTTTTGCCCATTTATTCCATCCCTGTGGAATAGGGCTGCAAGAT